ACGCACAGGAGGGCGTATATGACGACGATGCTTACTGGAGAAGCACCACCCGACATAAGTCACCTTAATTCCTTAATATAACATGAGAGGAGGGGGGGAGAGATGCATTAGCAAGCATTGCCGTGAGTCGAATAATAAGAAGAAGAAGAAGAAGACTGGTAGATGAAATTTAGCTACTTACTTCTCCTCCCACAGCTTCAAGACGAAATGAGTCAGTGCAGGAGATGCTAGCATCCAACACCTCAAGTCCAAGTGCCTCGAATGCCTCGAGAACGGAGACAAGCAATCCCGGGCAGTTCTTATCACAGAATACATTGATTAAGAAACCCTTTTCTAGGGTTTCGACAGTAACCTGCAGAGATGTAGAGTGAGGTAAAATGTTTGATCGACTATGATTTACTCCACAGGTCTGTGGCGAATAATGTATACGAATTATGAACCGGGGTTTACTGATGAAGTAACTAGCTGTAATCATATCAGAAGAGGTACCATGGGCAAGCAGCTTTCTTCCGCGAGATCTCGCTTGCATGCTTCGATGTTTTGCTTCAACTCTTCAATATATTTCAACGCATCTACTATAATAGATGCTTTGCTTGGCTACGAGGAAGAGGCAGCAAGAAAAAGGAGCATTAGATGATGCTATAAGTGTATTACCGAGTGCGGAACGCATCGGCTATACATCAGTGGAGCAGTGGATAGGTAGTAATCGTACGCTTGAAACTTATTAATTATAACCTACAGACAACGCATTTCGAATACGGATGTTGAGAGAGAGAGAGAGAGAAAGAAAAAAATATATATAGAGGAGAAAGTAGTGGTTGATTATCTTCATAATTTGTTTAAGCGGCAGGTGCTTCCGATCTTGTTTTCTGCTCAGTTTCGCTTTCCGATGTTTTCTTAATATTTTCTGGTCCGAAAAAATCTAGAAATGTAAGGGAAGAATTCTCATACAAGAATTGCCAAGTAATATCTTTTTCTCAGAATTGTAGGTGGCAATGTCAAAAGGTTGGCAGCAAAGAAACCACAGCATAACACTAGAATTTCAGCTTGCAAGTTAAAGCGAAGAAAACTATAGGGTGTTCCTCCTCTTGCATGACATAGGACAAATCTAAAAGCCACGAAAACCAGAGTAGGGTCGTCATTGAGCAAACAAAAACAAAAAAACTAATAGCTTTAGAACATGATCGGAAGCGCGACTGCACGAATACATCAAGAATCAAAATGTTAATCATCTCGAAATCAAAGCACACCACTACGCACCGCGCTAGAGTTGGTAACAGAACGAAGAAGCTGCAGCCTCTCATGCAGAACCCCTTTCTTTTGCTCCCTCGATGTCATCTTTCTCTTTCTCTTCCCTCCCTCCGCGCTTTTGTGGGTAGGATTGCTCGGAGGAGGGAGGAGCTCTCGCATCCTTATATTCGTCACCTACAGTGTTCCCGAGACACTGTTAGGGGTCACGAATTACCAAAACTAATCCACTTGGAATCTTACATGAGTGCCGGACCGTTTCTGCCATGAAAATATAGTTCCTTTTGGATAACCTGTACATTTAACATACAGACAAACTTGGTTGACCTTTTGGATAACCTGTACATTTAACATACATACATAGTTCCTTTTAGATAACCATGGGGACATTGCTCCTCGTTGCTGAGCTGTTTTCTTTTTTCCTGCTCACACTTGGTTGACCTTGGAAAATGATCACTGTACTGCCGCATCAAAGCGATGAATAATTGTCATCCTTTCTTCTATCGCATTGCTATCATCTGGTTCGTTGACATCGAGTACATTTAGTAGGGGTAAGTCTGACATGAAATTGACATCGGGTACGTACGCAGGTTACTTAGCTGAACGCACGGTTATGCTGATGTATTAATCTTTCACAGTTTTGGCCATCTTCACCGAACCAATATAGTGGAAAACATACATTAGCTAATAGTCCAAGCATTACTTTTGTCACGTTAAACATTCTATTGCTTCAGAAAACAAGGAAATCCCATGGTGAAACTAAACCGGTACCATATGTCAACAAGGTCGACATCGCGTTCCCCCCATGGAACTGCTGCTTGTTTGGCTTATCAACACCATTAACTCTGCGTGTCCCCCCACAGCAGCAATAATTGCAGCAATTATAACTAGCGAACCCATCTACTACTTGAGAATCTTCGAGTGCCAGTATCCATACATCCGTCCTGTTCGAATCATTCATTAGAAACGAGGAGAAGGATGCTAGCAAGAGTGTTGTAGGGAGCTCATAATGCTTGTAAATTGCCTGATGCATCCACACAAGAGGATGGTTAGCAGCAAGCAGAAACTTGGTCCAAAATGCTAAGCACCCACTAACAATCAGTGGTTATAATAACGAGTATGGGGTAGCGCGGAAAGAGGGAGAGGGAAGGAGAGGAATCTGATGTGGTGCTCGTGATAGGGGCAGAATGGAAAGCGTCAAGGGGAGGTTGTTTGGGCGTGGCGAGGAGGACCTTTGTGGGCAAGGCGACGCCTGTTTTGGATCTTGTTTGCCACGATGAGTTGTGAATGCCTCCAAGTATCCCTCACGGGTTTCGTCAGCTTGAAATCGCCAGGAATTATTATGACTACATTCGAAACGATTAAATTCCCTCAGAAAATAATTAAAAAAAGAAAGAATAATTACTTTTAAAAATATATAAAATATTATTTAGAATGTAATATTTCAAAACAAAAAGAAAGAAAGAAAGAAATGGTTGCATTTGCTACGATTCCATGTACTTTCAATTATAGATCTTTTAGATCATATGTTTTCGGGAATTACATCTTTTAAATTGTTTGTTAAGGCTAACTCTTGTTTTACGGGTGTCGATAGGTGATGTGTGTTCCAAACGCTGCTTACTCTCGGCAAAGATTTCACTTCCAAACTAAATCGTCCGACGTATTCGTAGCACCACCACCACTCGGTGAATTAACATTCCGAGTCTAAATCTCTCCCCTTGTTTATTTATGCACGAGTTTTAGTTCTCATGGATTTCTAGGAAAAAAGATATGCCGGTCTAGTAGTAGATAAACAACATTTGTAGGCAACCAATTAAACTAAGGATCATTCGAATGAGGATTGATGCATTACTAAAACCTGAAAAGCACTCACAGCAAGTTATCGGTCGGACGGTAATAGTCGTATGTCGGGCGTGAACACAACGGATCGATTCAACGTACTTAAAGATCAATTGTACTTGGTTAATGCTTAAGCTCAGATAGCAATAGTTAAAACGCATGCCAGTCGGAAGTGGAACATAAGAGCATGCATGCACTGTGCCAACAAAACTATTGTCGCTACGATTGGCTGACTATAAAAAAAAAAAAAGCATCGTAGTCATTGTGTTCCAACCAGAAGATGCAGAATCTTTAGCTGATGAACTGGTCCTCGGTCTAACAAACTCTCGGCACAAGCATGATATGATTCATCACAGCAAATATATCAGTCATTTTCAACTAGTATTGTATGCATCATGTCACAAACATAAGGAAAATGAAAACAGAAGAAATAATAATAATAATAATAATAATAATAATAATAATAATAATAATAATAATACTTGGGTAATACATAAAGTATACGTATACACCTTGTTGTTGCCTTGATGTCGTTAACCTTAGAGTCAACATGGTTCGATTCGGTCTCGAAGGCACAAGTTAGTCCATGAGGCTCACGGGGGTCATGTGGGGGCAATCTGAGTGGGGAGCAGACAAGTTGGTGCAACCCGAGGTGTTGCTTATTCGTGGAGAGCAAATTCGACATTGCCCCATGATGCGCTTCAACCTTATCAAGGTTTTTTCACAAATAGTCAGCATCGGCGGGGATATTCCCTACCCAACCCCTATGATGGTAAAGTTAGTAGATAATTGAAATTAGTCTAGTCGCTCCCGTTAAGACTTGAGGGTTGACTTTTATACTTGAGCGATCAATGGAGTGAGGCCGACAATGGGTTAGGATGCCCCTTATATCATCCAGGAGCTTATTAATATTGATGGTTGGTGGGCGTACCTCCCTGTGGGTGGTGTCAGGGAAAGACGACTACCAAAGTATCGTTTGTCATTGCTAGTGCCTATCTGGGATAAGCAGAGAATAGTCCCTTGCATCAGACATCCAAAAAGAGGAGAAGAGAAAACTATGTCATGCCACATGCGATTAATGTCCTTTTATCGCTGGGCGTGTGAGCCTTCTGATTGATGGGAGATGCCGAGTTGCTCGGTGACCCAAGAAAGAAAAAGGGGGATGGGCTTCGCTACAGTGGGTTAATGCATCCTAAGGATGGACTAGTGCAACCCTCCCGGAGATCAAGACATGCAGAGATGGATTGTGCTCCTACCGAGGACAACAAAGGAAAAGCAGATGCTCTTTCGACAACGTCATTACGTAGATGACAGTTCTTGAATGAGTTGATAATGTCATACTTGCATCGTTCCTTTTCCTATCACACCTGAAAGATTCAAGCATCGTCGATGCCGATTAGGATACGGATGTATGTGTAGCTCATGTAGTGTGTGTGTGTGTATACTTACAGATGGCGACACGAAGATGTCGCAGTAGAATAGGCTAAAGATCTCGTGACGATGCCAGGTCAGTGGGTGGTGGATGGAAGCAATTCATGGTTTCGTTGTGTGAGCACTCCTATCTCCTTGTGGCTCGGTGGGTTGTCAGCATGCCATTTAGGACAAACCATGCACGTACTCTTTGGATTCACGTGTCTCCACTTGTAATCATTGGCATGCAACAATCCACTAATTCACTTCTCAAGGGGTTTGTTTATCCTCGGCGCAGATATTTGTTTGGCCACAAATTAAGTTCAGCAAAATATGAACTCACACACAATCAAACCATTGTTCTTGGAGAAATGGATACTGGTCTCGATCAAACAACTACTTGTGCAGCATGTCAACTATATATCTCGTTAGATTCAATCAACTACATTTTATGTAGCTACCTGTGATCAACATGAACTTTGAATTGGATCTGCAAGGAGAACAAATTTTCCACATCCTCAAGTTATGTTTCATATAACATATATATATATATATATATATATATATATATATATATATATATATATATATATATATGTTCAGTTGGAGTTTGTGATTATGATGCTAGTTAAGAAGGTTTTGGGAACATAGGCGTTGTGTTATCCGGCCCTGGCCTTGTGAACTTGCCTTCTTTTGGCCCATGGATCATCTTCCATTTTCTTTTTCCACTGTGCACATTTAAGCAGGCTAGCTAGTCAATGATCGCCTATGTTCCCACGTTTAACGGGCGGCTAACTTGGCGGGGTACTGTGAATCAAGTCTGTGTTTTGTGACATGTTGAGCAAGTTTCTATTGATCATTTCACCGATCGACGCGGGCAGGCCAATGATTGCTACGCACAAGCGGTAGAACATCAGGAGCATGCATGTGGAACGATCGACGCATGGGAAGAAATCAAATCACCTACAACTTTTTCATGCATCCTAAGGCTTGATTGAGATGCAAGCAAGTGGCGACCAGTGTTGTTTCTTGTCCTTGTCCTTCTCTCTCATGTCGTTGTGGACTTCATGACTATTAGGAAATGCGTTGTAGTGGAGAAGGTAAGATATGTTCGACCCCATTTGGATTGCATGATCCACCGAATTAAATGATTGATCACAACCTTTGCACTCGATTAGTTCATAAGTCACGTAGCTTCAATATGATACTTTATTAACTCTTTGAGAAAGAATCGATCATCTATTTATTCTACTTTTTCAAAAGTGATCATCCCTATGATAATTAAAAAAAAAAATGAAGCAAATGCTACAGCCAACATAACATAGGCAATGTTGATGATTTTCATACTGCTGGGTGTTCGCTTATAATTGAAGGGCCCACGTGGTGGTGAAGTCGCGGATTAGCAAAATGAGGGTCTATGATCTCAATAACATGAGCTTTGAGTTAGGTCCATAATTTGGATCGTATGTGAGAGAACTCTTACCTTGCCGAGAGTTATATAACATGTAGTAGATTTCCTAATTCAAGATGAGTATAGTATATAACATGTAGATCGATATTATTGCTTCCATCGAATCGATCGACGATAGTGGATTCTCCATCTTGAATCCTTTCGTCACCTATAAATGACGAGAGTACACCAAGCTATAAATAAATTATTTGATCCCATAGTAATATTACCAAACTATAAATAAATTATTTGATCCGATAGCAACATGACGCCAACAACTTTTTCAGGCTTTTGGATTGGACACGACACTGTTTTTTTTCTTCGAAAAGGAAATATATTAAAAGATTAATACCTGAGATGGTGCTTTGTGGTTTTTAACATGCATGCTAGGAAACAGCATCGAAATCACAGTTAGCTCACTTACTGTTGTTGTAAGGCCAAATGACATGCTCGATAGCCTTCTTGTACACAAATCATGAGCTATTCTGAACACAGAGTTAGCAGACACAGCATGTGCTGCAGTCTGCATCCTTACTCGAAAAGTCAAAGCACGTACAATCAAAATAATGCACGTCCTTCACAGATGTTCAACATTGTGAATCATTTGAATGAAAGCTGTTCGACACAGACAAGTTCAAATATCCCGTGATTGTAGCCAAGAATTAATAATAATAATAAAAAGGGCGTTAGGTGTGCTCGTATCATTCATTACCCCATTTGTTACAGGATGGTGATTAATGCACAGGTACACTTCATTTCTAAGGATGACGATGACATGCCCTTTCGTCACGAGTGTTTGTTCGATCGTGTCACTCCTTTCAAAAGCACAAGGAACGAAAGAAATAGACCTACGTCTCTCTCTCTCTCTCTCTCTCTCCTGCATATGTTTTTACGAAGAGGAAAAGGGACGGTTCCTTTCCGGTCTCTCTTCCATCATGTCAAAGTGCCTAACCCTAACTAAGAAAAGGCAAAAAAGCCGCCATCATAGATGATAAGATAACCTCGATCGATTTAAGCAAGAGCTGGCCCGTGTCACATTTTCTATTACCTACCTACCGCTTAATTTGCTGTCTCCTACTTGAAAAAGAAACGACTGTTTCTTCATCCACTTACAAAGTCAAACAAGCCGGCCATCCTTCCACAGAAACCACTTCTGTAGCTTACCCCTTCCAAAACCCACCCAGACACAGATGAATCACTCTCCGAGCTGATTAATCATCTCCCACGTCCTCTCTATCGTTTGATTCCATGCAGACCATTCCAACGCAGTAGGTATGACGAGCAGCCGTCACGAAAGCAACACCCGCTTGCGCATCCCTATATATGTCGACCGGATGCTTGTAGCCTGGCCATCACAAGTGCTTTCTGTGCAGTCGTCCTTCCAGCCATGGCTTCCTCTTCCAAGGTCTTTGCTCCTTTAGCGTTGTTTCTACTCCTTCTCGGCAGCACCGCTGCGGAGCTATCCACAAGCTTTTACTCGTCGTCGTGCCCCAGGCTCTCTAGCACCGTGAAATCCGTTGTCCGGTCTGCTATCTCCAAAGAGAAGCGGTTGGGCGCTTCCATCCTGCGCCTCTTCTTTCATGACTGCTTCGTTCTCGTAATGTTCTATTACCCAAACGACAACAGCTAGCTTTTCGCTATTCTTTGGCCCTGATTTATAATGTGCGTGCACAGGGGTGCGATGCGTCAGTGCTGTTAGATGACACGCCCACCTTTCAAGGGGAGAAGACCGCGAAACCTAACAACAATTCCTTGAGGGGGTTCGAAGTCATAGACCAGATCAAGAATGCGGTGGAGAAGGCGTGCCCGGGGGTGGTGTCTTGTGCGGATATTTTGGCGGTTGCTTCAAGAGACTCGGTGGTCATTGTGGGTAGCACTCATCATCATCAGGGTTTCATCGATATATATATATATACAAGGCCATGTCAGTTGACCGAAGCGTTTTATTTTGCAGCTCGGAGGGCCTTACTGGGATGTGAAGTTGGGGAGAAGGGACTCGAGGAAAGCAAGCTTTTCTAAAGCTAACAAAGATATCCCCCCGCCAACCCTATCACTTAGCAAGCTTATCTCCAAGTTTTCAGCCAAGGGCCTTTCAACTAAAGACATGGTTGCACTCTCCGGTAAGGATCCGGACTACCAAGCTTATAAATTGCTCGATTCAGCTACAGTAAAGTAATGCAGAGTGGTAGGGGCCTTATTCTTGAAATTAAATTCAGATGCATCCGATTAAGCGTACCATGCGTCAAATTGCTCAGATTATATAAGGACCACTGATGTATCTAACATGAACTGCACACAGAATCAATATACGTTGCGTTTGAGGTGTTGTAGTCTCTATCTCTTACGTCCCCATTTACGGCCACCCCTAACCCACAGCTAGGGGCTGAGAGGTCTCGCTCTGCACTTGACACGTGAACAAGTGACGAAGATCATTCGAATTTTGCTTTTCGACGCAGAAAAAGAAAAGACAGGAGGAATCTGCGATCAAGGGTCGCGAGATTATTAATTCGACATCGGTTGATGGAGACAAAGACAGGAAATTGAATCGGCTACTGGAATAGACACTTTCTTACGATGGGCTTCGCTTTCCTGACCAAATTATTGGAGACTGGGGAGCCACATACCCCGGGATTAATTACAACTCACGATTATTACTTGCATAGGCCAAGAGAAAAAAGAGCGTAGCTGTTTGTACGTAATCACATGGAAGGTTGGTTTCCTATGTTGTCCAAAAGTCAATAGCTCTTGCTGTAGGGGGACCTTAGTTAGGTCCTCGATTATAGTTTTGACTGAGTCGGTGGAGTCAGCATGAGGGTTGGGCTGAGTAGGTAGGTTGATCCATGAACGAGATTTTTGATTTGGTTCCTTCTCCCGCTGCAGGTGCCCACACGATTGGGCAAGCACGGTGCACCTCCTTCCGTGGTCACATCTACAACGACACCAACATAGACGTCTCCTTCGCCAAGACCAGGCGGTCCAACTGCCCTCGTACCACCGGCTCCGGGGACAACAATCTGGCGCCGCTGGACCTGCGGACCCCCACCCACTTCGACAACTCCTACTACAACAATCTCATCAACTTCCAGGGCCTCCTGCACACGGATCAACAGCTCTACAACATCAGTGGCTTCATCAGCTCCGTGGTCAAGGCCTACAGCGGCAGCACCCACACCTTCTTCTCCGACTTCGTATCCGGGATGATCAACATGGGAGATATCAGACCCCTCACGGGTTCCGAGGGCGAGATCAGGAGGAGCTGCAGGAAGATCAATTGATTAATCCACTACCGTGTTTTGTGTGCAATTTGTAGCAGCGCCACACTGCATGCGTTTCCTGCGCGAATGTGTCTTCCGCGTCGAGTTTAACCTATTTCTTAAGATCATCAATTAAGTATCGTCTTATCCATCATGTAACAACAAGTATAGTCTTATGTACTTTCCAGTTTTAATTCCTATAAATAAAATAAAGAGCAACAAATGAATAACCAGTTGAGATGGCCGAGTTGGTCTAAGGCGCCAGATTAAGGTTCTGGTCCGAAAGGGCGTAGGTTCAAATCCCACTCTCAACACTTGGTTTAATTTTTTTGAAAGTAGGTGCTCTTAAACCAAATGCGCTTGCGCGACCAGTGAGAGAACACTTGGTTTAATTGTCGGATAAATTACAATTGTCATAAATAACAGCTCCACGATGGCCGAATTCCAGAACGCGACGAGCATCAAACTCCCCGACCTATGTAGAAGATTCTGCTACTTGGACCAAACTTTTAAGCCACCACTCGAACAAGTCATTTTTGTAGAGACGGCCGACGACATGCACGACACCCCAACAGAACAGATGAAACGAGGCAGCTGCTGCATGAAACATCTCTCGGACTGACCCTAAACATACTTAGATACAGGCAGATGAGAAAAAGGATGACAGCAACCTACATGTGACCAGTCGCCGCATAGCTTATTATAGTAGTGGGATGAGGCAGCTGATAGATACTGTGCAGTTTTAAACTGGGACGACATGCACGAACAGTGGTGACACCTCAACCAAATCTCTCGAGGACCGATTTCTTCTGACGATCACGGCGTCGACGGAACAGACTAAGGCGGGGAATCCGTTGGAGTCGGAAGCACAGGATGGAGCCACCAGCCGCTTCTTCATCATCCGGTACTCTGGAAAAGAAGGAATGCTTCTGCCGAGAATCCGAGGATCCCAATCGAGAGAAGGGGGACGATGGTAACGATGACACTGGCGACTTGGGCATCGGCGGATGCGGCATGCATGGCTTCCTTAGAGTGAGCCTTCGGAATAAGGTGGCCAGGTAGCTGAATGACCCGGATGACTTTCGTTGCTTCTTGGCGGCCATAGTCTTCCTGGGGTGGTGGTAGTAGGTGGGTGGCGGGGTGAGGGGCGGGAGCTGTGAGGCGGCAAAGGTGGCTTTGGGCGTTCCCGGCTGCGACTCCCACACGAAGGGCACCGAGGCTGCTGCGACTCCATGGTAGACCCTGAAGGAAGGGGTGGCGGACAAGGAGTTTTCCTTGGAGAGGAGCCTGGCGTAGAACGTGCCCTCTTGCTTGATGCGGATAGGGCTCAGGGGACTGCCTGAGCTTTTGGCGAGCATTTCGTGGCTGGATTGGATTTGAGAGCCGTCGGCAGCGCTACCGAACAAGGAGACCGGCCGGCTTAAAAAAGGACTAGGCGATCGATCCATACGCGTTGGAATCAAGCGACGATCAATGCATGGTCCTGTTTGCGGAGAAACCTAACTTCCTTGATATTAATAAGCGCTACTGCACACGCGCTGCTCCTGCCTCCTATTCACTCGTAGACGTTCGCCAAAACGATTCATTGGAACACAAGAACGATTCATTGCGACCCAAGGATGTATAATTTGCCTATTTCGTGCTGTCTGCAATTGATTTTGCCTCTCTAACACTTTTTCTCCATGAATTCCGATGGTACATTAGAGAAGCTGGTGGTGATGATAATTAAAAACTGGGCTATTAGCCGATGGCGGTGGATTTCCCCTTTAGATTACGATCCGATGTTTATTGAAATGGTGGGTGGATTTCCCCCGTAGATTACGATCGGATCCTTATTGAAATGGTGCCTTGGTGGGGAACCTAAGACGAAGCAAGGAAGTAAAAGCGTGCTGCTGTCTTGTGCACCAACAAGGAACACGTATGCCATCATCAGGATGTTACCATATATCCCTTTCGAGCATTGGTCCAATCAGAGTAAAAGTGTCGGTCGATCGGTTGACATGGATGCGGGGCCACTCATGCTCTTATTAATCAGCAGTAGTACACCACGTACGATTTGGAATTTGGTTTCTGATCTGATCTATGCCGTAAGTGCAGTGCATTCAATTGAAGTCACATGTTCGTTTCTTATACTACGCTCGCAAGTTAATAAACGGAGCACTCGTTGCTGAACACATCTAGCGGTCATTTATTCTTTGATAGAGAAGGAACGCCGGCTAAATGGCACAGTGACTATCTCGAGTCTCGATTATGTAGGAGGAAAGATGTATATATATATATATATATATATATATATATATATATATATATATATATATCTGTGTGTGTGAGGCGTAAGACGTAACCTTGCATGGCGTTAACTCATCGTTTGATTTGATCCGCGTGGCGGACAGGGCAGGTAAGCGTGCGATCGTGTAATCTCCATCCCTCGAGCTGTTCTCGTGTCTGTGCGATCGTGTGCGGCGAGTACGAGATCCATAACATCTGTTGTACCTTGTCGAATCGTTTCTGTCGAGATAAGAGAGCGGTTGTCCGCTTGAATCGAGGGAGCCATGTAGCGGTCAACTCCAACAGGCTTAACAATAAAACACACATAAATGTTTGGGTCCCATGCATCACACGTCCGAATAGAATCCAAAACTCCGCCTTTGTTTGGCGTTTGGGCTGCTCAATCCTTATCGGTTATAATGTAATGGTGGAGTAGGGATGTTGGATCCATAAATCTGGCCCCCGAAAAAATGAGTTGGGATGGAGATGTTGATCCGAAATCCCACCTGGTTGGATGGTGCACGATAACCAGTCACCGTGAACATGGCATTTACTTGAATGAAAAAGGCGTCGAGAAGAAACGTGGAGGCCGTCCCTTCCATGGATGCAACGAAGACACGAGGAAGTGTGCAGACAGAGAAGAGTCTAAATTGCACGATCAATCTCGTGTGTTGTGTTCCGCTCCCCGGTAGAAGGGAAGTCGAGCTATTCGTGAGAGAAGCTATGGTGTATGAGGGAAGTTGGGCTCAGATCGCATCGCAGAAATAAACATTTCTACTCTTGTCGCTTTCGAGGAAATAGTGTGAAACCATTCTTGCTGGAGCAGCTGCTAGCCACGAACACGATGCAGGCGTTGACTAAATTAAAAACCAGCCGCTAAAGTCCTTTAATCGACTGATCTGTGGTGACAGTCGCAACGCGCATCTCCTTTCAAACAATTCAGATTCATCGTCCTTAATGTCGGGATTAGAAGGAAAAAACAATGACACCGCAGTCAGAAGAAGAAAATATTTAATGATGGATGGTGAGATGTAGGGGTGTGTGGTGCATGAATTGCCAACGATCAATCAAAAAAAGCTAGCTTGGAGTGGAAGCCACCGCTGCCAACAATCCATGTGGCGTTGCCGGTGCGGGATAGACGTCGTCATCTGCCACCTCGTCCTTTTCACGTGTGCTCCATCAGCGTTTCAACGAAGAAAACAATTTTTTATTTTATTTTTATTTTTTTTATGACTTAATTGAGTTCATATACATATAGATGGATGTGTATTATGAAAATCCAAACACGGGGTTTCAATTTATATATATATATATATATATATGTTTATTATGAATTTTTATATAATACTCTTATCCTGAAATTTTTATCGTTGCATCTTTTTTACACAGGGAAGACGTTTGTCACAGAATGAAAAATATGCAATATTTCTTATTCACACACGAAAAGAAAGAGTTCAGTTTATTCAATCAATTTGAGGAGGGTACATAAATAAATATACATGATGATATTAAGAAAAGAACGAAACCAAATAAACGAACGACAGAGAGGAGAGTTTGAGAAATACAGGCAACGTGAGGGGAGGAACGAGGTTGTCGGTACCGCATCCCGGTAGCAATGCCGGATCACTCCGCCGACTACCTCGCGGGGGCGCCGTCACGCACTCTCCATCCCCCTCCGCCTTCGTCTTCGTCTTCGTCGTCGATACGTAAGTCTCCGTCTGCTGCGCCGTCTTCTCCTCTTCCTTGCCAAAGTGGCGGCAAGAAGGTGATCGTCGGGCCGTACGAGGTGGGGCGGCTGCTGGGTTGTGGAGCGTTCGCAAAGGTTTACCACGCGCGCCACACCGGAACGGGGCAGAGCGTTGCCCTCAAGGTGCTGTCCAAGCACAAGCTGCTGCGTTCCGGTCTCGCCGGCAACGTCCGCCGCGAGATCTGCGCCATGCGCCGTCTCTGCCACCCCAACATCCTCCGCCTCCTCGATGTCCTCGCCTCCCGCTCCCGCATCTACCTCGTCCTCGAGCTGGCTAAGGGCGGTGAGCTGTTCTCCCGCCTTACCGGCCGCGGCCGCTTGACGGAGGACCTTGCCCGCCCAATCTTCCACCAGCTCCTCTCCGCCGTCGCCTATGCCCACGTCCACGGGGTTTTCCACCGCGACCTCAAGCCCGAGAACCTACTCCTCCTCGACGACTCCGCCCACCCTCGCCTCAAAGTCTCCGATTTCGGCCTTGCCGCCATCGCCGACCAACTCCTTGTTCTTCCTCATCGCCACCTTCCCGATCGTTCCCCTCCCCTCTTCCGCACCATCTGCGGCACCCCGGCCTACGTCGCCCCTGAGGTCCTCTCCTGCCGCCCCTACGATGCTGCCAAGGCCGACCTCTGGTCCTGCGGCGTTGTCCTCTTTGTCCTCGTCGCCGGCTACCTTCCCTTCAACGACCCCAACCTCATGGCCCTATACCGCAAGATCTGCCGCGCCGAGTTCCGGTGTCCCCGCTGGGTTTCCCCGGACTTACGCCGCCTCCTCGGCCGCCTTCTCGACCCCGACCCCGCCGGCCGTATCTCCGCCGCCGAGATCGTCCACGAGCCCTGGTTTCGCAAGGGCCTTGACGCCGACCGATTCGCCTCCGTGACCCGTCCCCATCGCCATGACCTTGACGGCCGCATCGCCTCCAAGATCGGCGACAGTGGCAGCGAGGAGGACCGCGACGGAGACCTCAACGCCTTCGACCTAATCGCCTTGTCCCCCAGCCTCGACCTTTCCGGTTTCTTCGCGGGGCTCGAGTTGGCGACGCCGTTGCCGTGGAGGGAGAGATTCATCTCTGGCGATTCGGCGGAAGAGATCCTAGCCCGTGTGGAGGCTGCGGCGGCGGGCGAGGAGGGGATGACGGTGCGGCGGTTGGGCAAAGAGGGTCGTGCGGGCGCGGCGTTGGAGGGGCCCGCGGGGGAGTTGGTGGTGCTGGTGGTGCTACGACGGCTGAACAGGGAGTTGGTGATGGTGGAGATGGAGACGGGCGTCGGCGACGGGAATGGAGACTTCTTGAGGGAGCGGCTCCGTCCGGCGCTCGGGGGCTCTGTCGGCGTAACGGATATTCGTGGTTCTGGGTCGACCGGATCCGAACCGGATTTGGTTTTGTTCGACGAGCCGGACGAATCCAGCTCGACTAGCTCTTCTTAGCTGCTAATGATGTCACTCACCAGGATTAAAACTATAAATGAAAGAACCACGTGTCCTGGTGACTGGACCATCGCCCCAACAGTAGACATCGTCGACCCAGGCAGGATTTGTGACACGACACATACGTACACATTCCCTTGGCCTGTGTATTTAGGGGTTCATACACATTCCCTTGACATGTAAAGACGCTGACTTTTCCACCCCCGTTTGTGTAATCATTGTTGGTTTTCTTTTTCATTTTATGATTTTTCAATAGGTCGGAAAGGTCGTTTATATGCAATAAAATATTATTTTTCTTTCTTGTAGGAGAATGGGTATATTGTTCTGTGGAAGAAAATTACAAGCCCACATGTGGAAGAAAATGTTTGGCACAAGCGGATAAAACTCTGGTTATTGTTCTGTGGCTCTGAGAGAGCTAGCCCAACAATGTAAAAAAGAATAGCAGACAAGAGTGATGGGCTGTACAGGCCGGCCGGAGAACAAGGGAGGGAGGGTAAGGGGTGGGTGGTGTGATGGCACGGCCATGCGGTGGTGCTTCGTTTCTTTATGCAGTAAATACCAATACGACATCACATGTATGTCTTTTGCGTGTGTGCTTGATATATTTTAGGTTCAGCACGAGGAGGCGGAGGCTCGACCTGCCGCAGCTATTGGGAGTATATCCCGGTGCGGTGTGGTTGTGGCTGTGGCTGTGGCTGTGGCTGTGGCTCTGAGTCGAGGTGAGTGGTGGAACATCAGCCAGATTCTTCCGAGAACACCGATCGAAGCGAGCATTAATGCACTGCTCACCAAGTGGGCGTTTATAATAATGCTGGCGTCGTCGTTCTTTAAACCCATCTTACCATGAAACCATGATCGTGTCTTGTCCTTCTTTGGAAAAGAACATTTTGCATTGCCGATCCATTAAACACAAGGTTTGCTTTTCCAACGTTGGTCTTTGATTTGAATTCGCCTCCCATCGTGGTTCGGCTGGTACAGAGCTCCTCGGGGAAACCTCCACTTACTGTCCTTCATGTGCCGGAAACCAGGGCTCCTGTAACCAACGCACCGCCCGCCCGCCCGCCCATCCTCTTTGGCATCTCCACTCCGGACCAGTTCAGCAGCCGCAGTAGAAACACAGTACCCTCCTCCGCTTTCTCCATCCTGATCCTTCCCTGCGGCACCAATTTCTACAACCCTAAACCTCGCGTTTCACTGCTCTGCCTCTGGCTCCGGAGCCCAAGGCATTTGTCGCCGTGTTCCTTCTTTTCTCGTACCTTTCTTTGGCTCCACCACCCCCGAATCCTGCTCACCGTGTCCATCTGTCGAAGGTTGTGCTTTTGCTTGGTTTCCTCCTCTCTTCTTCGGGCTGCAACTGATCTCGGCTGCCGGTTCTTGTTTTGGTAATATGTTGCTGCGTGTTCTTCTTTCACAAATCCGCTTCATTTATGTTCTTATTTCCTGCTAGTTTGGGGTTTTGGGACCCTACAAGTAGACTTTTGGTTGCTGCTCAAGTGTTGATCTATCAAGTCCTCGATATGTTCCGTCGTCTCCACGGAAGTAAGACAAACCTTGCAGCTTTTTGACGTTTTCAGGTCTCTAAAGGAACAGTTGGCGTTTCTCTTCTCTTCAAATCCATGGATCATGTGGCACCACCGAGAACCAGCACAAGCTCCTCCGGGTCCGGCTTCCTCTTGTCAAAACTGTGCAAGCGGCGATCCGTCACCGTATCGTCCTACAACGACAACCCAAAACCTAACTACCGCTCTTCCAGTGCCGATGCTGGCACTGGCAATGGCCCCGATGATAACCGAGATGGTAAAGTGCATCCCCAGCCACTGGAGGAGCCTCTGACTAGAGTCTCCAAGTGCTCAGAAGAAGCTGTGATCTTGAAGCTATTCGATGCCATTACTGCCCTCAAGTGTGCTTATGTGCAGCTGCAGCAGGCCCATCTTCCTTACGAACCCAAGAAGATAAAGATGGCGGATGATGTCATGGTGTCTCTGCTGGGGACCCTATCTAGTCTCCAGGAAGCTTACAGCTCTCGATCTGCGCTTCACTCGCAGATTCAGGACTGTCAGGGTGTGTTGGCACAGTTGCAATCCAAAGCGCGCATCAAGTATTCCGAAATCCGTCGACTGAGGTGGGAAATGGAGGAGTTGGAAACAGAAAACGCAGCGGTGGAGAAGATGGTTAGGCAAACAGAGAAGGTGGCGCTCTTCTATCCTAACTGGGAGGCGACACCCGCTCTGTTTTCCCGTGTCTGCAGATCCACTGCGAGATCCTTTCATGACTTTGCAAAGCCACTTATTAGCTTGATGAAAGCTTCGGGGTGGGACCTGGATCGCGCCGTCAGTTCGCTCGACGATTCTCTTTTTTTCGCTCAGAGGGTGCACAAGAAGTATGCGTTGGAAGCATATCTGTGTCGGGTAATGCTCGGCAGGGCAGCTGAGGACGAAAGCGATCATGGGTTGAGCATGAATCGGTTGGATCGAGTGATGACTTCTCAGGAACCTTTTGATGCCGTGATGGAGGATCCAAATGGTTGGTTTGGTAAATATTGCCGAGCAAAGTACGCCCTGGCGGTGCCATCCAAGATGGAGCGCTCCTTCTTTGGGAATCTGGACCAGAGGTCATTTGTCATGAGCGGGGGGCATCCGAGGACTCCATTTTATGAGGCATTTGTGAGGATGGCCAGATGGGCTTGGGCGTTGCAGGTGATGGCCAACTCCTTTATTCCAAAGGCGGAGATGTTCTATGCCAAGAAAGGCCATGACTTCTCCAAGGATTTTATGGAGAGTGTAGCCGATGGAGTGATCTGCGAGGAGGAGGGAGGGGAGACGCTTGAAGTTGGATTTACGGTGACGCCAGGCTTCCGAATCGGCAGCACCATCGTGCGCTGCCGGGTCTATCCGTGCAGGATGGCGTCTTCCATCGACGCTTAAACTAGTTTTATATATATATCAAGTGTGTGTGTGTGTGTGTGTGATCTTGTTCTGCTTTCTAACTTGCAGAAGCGGAAACTATATATGATCGTACGTGTCAGATCATACTATTTATATATTTATATTTGCAACACTACTCTTTAACCTTTCTTCTACAACTTGCTACTCCCGTCCCATATAGCTCATGTTTCATGCGGTCGTCATGTTCGAGATGCTACGGAACCATAACAGTGTTAGTCCCCATCTTTTGATTTGATGATAGTCTAAGTGCAGCAAAGCTATGACCGTAAGAACAGTACGAGACAAAAGGGAAGAAGATTGGAGCTCCGGGGGAACACCCCCCGCGCGGAGAACCTCGTGACGAACCCTCCGCTGAGACTTCATAGCGTTATTGACAAATATTTAATGACCCCGGGCATGTCGTTGCCCGACAGCGCCCCAATTGGCCCGTCGCCCGTGTCGTCCGAGGCCTTTCTGGACCAAACTCATCAAGTCCAAACTCTGACCAGTATGGTGCAATCCATTCTCCCACTCATTTCTCGTCCGCTGAACCTGCCTGCAATCCAACCGCTGCGACGACAGGAGCCACCTGTTCTAGCTCGCACTCCACCCCGGGAGCTTCCGACTTCCCCTCGGGACCGCACGGCCCCACTCGGGGACCAAGCGACGGCAAATCCGAGAGGTCGCTCGGAACCCGAGGCATTCTCCTCAGATTCCCTGTGAGCCCAGCTACGCTTCGTTAGCCAGCGGCTCGACAAAGTACAGAAGGAGTTTCGCAGGTCAAAGGGAGAGAGCTCGGGGAGGACGCGCACTAAGGGTCTCCATTCGCGACTGAGATACAAGTTCAGGCAGTCCCCCCGAACTTCCGCTTCCCCTCCCTCGACGCGTACGACGACGCTACCGACCCAGCAGACCATGTAGCCGCCTTCCGTGTCCAAATGGCGCTTTACGGAACCTCGGACGCCCTGATGTGCAAGGCGTTCCCCACTACTCTGAGGGGGCCAGCTTGTGCATGGTATAGCAGTCTGAAGCCTGGGGCGATCACTTCTTTCGATCAGCTCACAAGGGCCTTTGAGCTTAACTTCCTAGCCTATGCCCGGCCGAAGCCATCCGTTGCACTGCTCCTCGGACTCAACCAAAGGGAGGACGAGCCCCTCTCATATTTCGTGGATCGCTTTGCCACACAAATCCGGGGTTTGCCGAACGTTCATCCCTCTCTATTAATGTAGGCATTTATGAGAGGCCTGCGACCTTCCAGATTGCCCTGGTCCCTTGCAGAGCGACCCCCCACCGCGGTACCGGAGATGCTCCAACGAGCTAACCAGTACATCGCGGCATAGGCCTGGATGGCCGTGAGAAGGTGAAGCGACTTCTAACAGCGGGATTCGTAGAAGGGGAGGGCGCCCGAGGACCAAGAGCACATCGCCTTCCTCACCGAACAGACCGCTCGCCTATGTCGTGCTCCTCGGCTGCATGTTGCCCGAGACGACCTCTGCGCAGCCCACCTACCTGAGTCGTGCTCCTCGGCTGCATGTTACCGGAGACCACAACCTCTGCGCGGCCCGCTCGCTTGAGTCATGCTCCTCGGATGCATGTTGCCCGAGACCACAACCTCTGCTCGGCCTGCTCGCCTGAGTCATGCTCCTCGGCTGCGTGCTACCCGAGACCACTACCTCTGCGTGGCATGCCCGCCTAAGTCGTGCTCCTCGGCTGTGTGCTGCCCGAGACCACTACCTCTACGCGACCTGCCCGCCTGAGTCGTACTCCTCGGCTGCGTGTTGCCCGAGACCACTACCTCAGTGCGACATACCCGCCTGAGTCATGCTCCTCGGCTGCATGTTGCCCGAGACCACAACCTCTGCTCGGCCTGCCCGACTGAGTTGTGCTCCTCGGCTGCATGTTGCCCGAGAAATGCTGCCCGAGACCACAACCTCTGCGCGGCCTGCCCACCTGAGTCGTGCTCCTCGGCTGCGTGCTGCCCGAGACCACTACCTCTGTGCGGCCTGCCCGCCTGAGTCGTGCTCCTCGGTTGCGTGCTGCCCGAGACCACTACCTCTACGTGGCCTACCCGCTTGAGTCGTGCTCCTCGGCTAAGCGCTGCCCGAGACCACTAACTCTGCGCGGCCTGCCTGCCTGAGTCGTGCTCCTCGACTGCGCACTGCCTGAGACCACTACCTCAGCGCGGCCTGCCTGCCTAAGCCGTGCTCCTCGGCTGTGTGCTGCCCGAGACCACTACCTCTACGCGGCCTGCCCGCATGAGTCGTGCTCCTCGGTTGAGCGTTGGCCGAAACCACTACCTCTGCGCGGCCTGCCCGCCTGAGTTGTGCTCTTCGGCTGCGCATTACCCGAGACCACTACCTCTGCACAGCCTGCCCGCTCGAGTCGCGCTCCTCGACCGCATACTACCCGGGGCCACCGCTGCAACCGCCCGGCAGGGATAGTTTCTTAAAACTGAAGCCATGCCTCGGACCCCCCTTTCTGCAACAACCGATGCATAGCTTCCTTTGGGGGGAGGGGGGAATATGATGAGGGTATTAATGGCGATAAGACTCTGGTGACGTCAGCTGCCCCGGATGACACCTCACGCCTCTGTTGACCTGACAGCACCTGGTCAACTCGGACCGGAACGTCGACCGAGGCACATTAACATCCTACTCAGGCTCGATCCCTCACGCCACGCCAACGTCGATGTTAGACGCTACCAGAAGTACGATCCTGCTCCCTACAGGCAGGCACACCAAGCAACGGTAACTCTTATTATAAAAACCCTCGCGCTCCGAGGAAACAGGGGGACAAAGGAGACAGACAAAAAAACCCCTAAGACTATCCACTGACTTGATCGTCGGAGGGGTCGGGCCGAACTCCCCGGCCCGACCTGTGTGCAGGAGCGAAGACGGAAGCTTCCCACCAGATGCCCAGGCGAGGAGTTCACTCCCGGAGGAAACAGCGACCCCGTTCCGATCGGATCACAGCAGTCGGCCACCTCAACGGTCTCAAGGGCCATCCCGGGAAGATCCCCATTATCCGGACCCGAACCAAGCTGCGTCGACCCCGGACCACGGCTCAAAGTTGTTTACACCAACAGCTAGCGTCTTTGAAATAAATTTTTCCGAGTGTGTCGACCTTCTTGGGTTTCCCTTTGTTGTCTTCTTCACGGATCTTTGCAGGTCTTGTTCCCTCCAAATTAAAATTAACCTTCCTCCCCGTCGCCTGCATATAAACGGAGGAAGGAATGGAACTAAAGGAGAAAGCCCAGCAACCAAACGCGGTGTCGTCGTGTCTCTGTGATTTATATATATTGAACTGCATTCGTCATGCAAACGAAATTTCGTAATATGTTTGTCGGTCTACTCATTTATCATTAGTGGCAAACCAAACGTTGCCGATGATGGCGAGTTAATTTTGTAGTGACTCGAGAATTTTCACCTGGTGATACGGTGGTCATCATGTCCTTCCTTCCTTAGAACAACAGCTAGCTATTGTTAGCTGATGTATGTCTGATGTTTTATCGTGACTAGAAAGTAAATTCTTTATTCGATCGTAATGGTTGCTCCAAGTGCTTTTTTGCTAGATACGTTCGGAGTCTCGTGCTTGCGTACCCTTGCATAGTACTTAAGAAGAGATATGCTTATTTAATTATATAAAATATATTATAAATAGTATTATATTCTAATTATGATTATGGATCAATAAAAGAAAAAAAAATAATTATGATACGATTCCTTGAGAGATTATTTTGATGAAAGGAACTTTCTTAATTATTTATTATAGTAATCTATTCTCGCTTATAAATAGATAAGATCTCTTAAAGACTATATAAGATGAGATTATACGTGACGTAATATTATTAAGAGATTACATATCTTTTCTCATCTCTCATTTGCTTCTAATTCATCGCTCATAGCGGTTATGTGAAAGATAATAAGAGAGAAGAAGACTAGTTTAGTTCTTCTTGCAGTTTGACATTGTTGCAATTTTCAGATTGGACGACGATGTGATTATATATCATACAAAGATTTTCGGAATAACATTCATCTATAATTATTTGATTTTAATTTCTGATATTAATTTTTTTTTTGTATAATAGTATAATTATATTTTTTTACCCTAGTAATTAGTATCATAGTCATGTTTTAAAATAAATCGAATACCTCATATCATAAAAATATAAGCATAAAAATCATGATTATGCTATTATTATAATGCTACCATTATGTCAAAAAAATTAATGCTAAAAATTAAAATAAAATAATGATTGATCAAATATATGATACATACCTTTCGATGTTAATAAAAAAATATTTATTTGATTTGTAGGTGCACCATCACCATATTCGAAAGCTAAAATGATGCTAATCTACAAGAAAGGCTAGACTCTACTTCTCTCTTCGTATCTTTCATATGAACAATGAATTAGGGACAAAAAGGATATGAGAGAAGATCTGTAATCTCTCAATGACTTCATATGACTAAGGGGAGATGATGGAAGATCTATAATATCTCAATAACGTCACATCACATATCCATATTGAGTCCATAGAATGTCTTATCTATTTATAAGCGAGAACAGGGGGTTTAAGAGAAATAATTAGAAGAGTCCCTCTAATCAAGGTTATCTAATAACGAATCAAATATAATTGGACTTCATTTCTATTGATCGATAATAATCCAATCAAATCTATAATTTATCTTATATAATTAGGTAATGCTTCATAATATAATATTTTCTCACTTTGCCCATTAATTAGTAAGATATTAAAAAAAAATTAAAAAGTAAGAATAAATAAAAAAAATATTTAAGAATAATTTTACTTAATTAGATTCAAAAAATTTGAAAAAGTATTTTACATGTGTGCATGAATTTTTTTAAATAGGCCAATAAATCTAATAATCATAATAATACTATATTCAGTTTGATTAAGAGTCATAGCGATTGCATGTCATCAATGTCACATTTTTTTTTATATACCACTAGAAGAAAGTAAAAATTATGAATAAGTATATGCATTATCATATTAGTCCTTTTTGATACTATATTAGTCTTTCTTGATATAGTAAAAAATGACTCTTATAATTTATCTTGTCAAGATAATCCTATTATCACATTCAATCATAATAAGTATATGCATAAATATGAATAAGATAGTAGAAGTAAATAACTTTAGTTACATAAACAAGAATGTGAATTATATGTAGATATTATAATTATTTAAAAATAAAATACTAAAATTTTTAAAAAATAATAATAAGATATTTAAAAGAGACGAAAGATTATATTCTTATAATCTTATATTCCACTTGACTTATCAACAAGTTACCATCGACGATGATAAAGACTCAAAGAAATCCTTATACTCCACTGGACTTATCAACGAGTTAGCAAGCGTGAAGTTTAAGATAATGAAAAGTATGGAGCGTGGATTCAGAAACAATGAAGGCGAAAATTAGAGCATCCCATCGTAGACTCACCGTGGCGAGGGAATGATGTCCTCCTTTGGGTTCGTTAAGGACCCTAAAATCGAAATGGAAATCCACATTCGGCGACTTTGACTTGAGCTTAGTCACACAAACATGTGTTGGGCGGGGCGGGTCTGCTGTTGCCCCACTAATTTGGGTATTTTGAGATGAAATCGTGGATTCACTCTCCCACACCTCGCCGCCAAACCAAGGAACATCTCTTTCCCCTCGAATCCGTATTCATTTTGTTAATTTGTTTTGCTTTCACTTTGATCTCAAAATTATGTTTACCTTCTCTCTCTCCACGCCGTTGCTCCTCTCACAAAAAAGTAGTGATTTAGGGTGGGCTGATGACGCAGGTTTAAGTTCATGGTACTTTAAGGCTTCATGCATCGATCGAGTCGTCGTTACAAGAAGAGCAGTTGCATTGAGCTAATCTTATCCTGGATAAAGAAAGAAGAAGGAGATAGAATTTTCAGAAGCGTACCGCCCCTGTGTATGGATGGCCAACTGTTCGATTACAGTAGCCTGCACTGCAATCTTGAAAGCGGACAGCCTAACAACAACTATTCATTTCATTATGGTAAGTGAAAGAAGGTGTGCAGCACCACCGGGCGGGGCTGGGCGTGACCTCGGTTTTTAATGCTAACTAAACAAACGAATCCCTGCTTGGATTTTCTACTTATTAGCTGCGATCTGCATCGCAGGGTTTCGACATTGATTATTGTTGAAATAAGCAGAACCTGTTTGTTGGATCTTACACTATCTATCGTTAGACGGAAAGGTGTCCGAGCCTAATCATCAAGGAAAAGGAAGCATAAGACGCATTGGAGCGAAGAGCAGCCCAAACTCAGGGACAATACGGAGACAGCAAACAGATAAGACAACGATGGATCGAGAGTAAAAAACATCAAAGGTTCTGCCGGGTCCTCCTCCGAGAGAAAGGCTCGGCTCGGCGATCAATGACAAGTCCTTTTCGGAAAGCCATTACAAAAATAAAAAGACCATTTCAAATGGCAAGTTTTTTTTATTATTATTTTTTATTGTCTTCTTTTTTTTTAGATACAAAATGCAAATAAATACATTGGGGTCGTCGGTATATCCTGTATTTTCATCTGGCATGAAACATATATATCTATCCATCTATCTATCTATATATGCATTATTACAAGGAAAACATACTTGATTATCGCATTGTGTGTATAATTATGTATATATAATTGTGACTCCGTCGGGGGTTGACGACAGATATAGCAAGTATATAACAAGCAGACGACGTTCTCCGGAGAAAAAGCAAAAAATCCTCGCCATTTGCCCAGTTTCTCTTGCTAAATAAAGAGAACCATTGGATCTGGTGCTCTGGTTAACGTGAGAGACCACTCATTCGTTACGTGAGCCATGAGATTTATCTTCCGGTCCGGTTCTTCTCCATGCTGCTCTGGTGCTCTGCTCACCATCCAAAGCCTAGTCGCACATCATGAAATGATCGATGCTTTGATACCACCGAAATCGATCCCCTGCATCTTGCACTTCAAATTTTCAAGGGCCTCTACTTCCCAAATGTATACTTGTAATCTCACGCTAATGGCTGCATCTGTGCCCGAGGAAAGGAATTAGACGAAGCACTTGGTATTTTTCTTTTAAGATCCATACGCTTATTTCACTGTAGATGGAGTGGTCAACGTTTGTGCCCGGACACGAGGCCCAACCTCGGAGGGAGAACCTGAAAGATATGCAATCTCCCTCTTTGGCTAGGGTCGGTAATGCATCTAAATTTACGTCCGACGGTAAGCCTCTCGTCTCGGGTAGCATCTAAATTGACTGCATAGCTGCATGACACCATGATGCTAAACGGTGAAGACTCGGAGGTGGTGCCTAAAATTTAGGTGTAATAGCAAATCAGAAACAGTTGGCTGACAAGAAATCAGAGCTTCCCTAAATAGTTGCACAGTCCAAGGACAAAGACGGGCAGAGAGCTATACATGTAACAACAATACGTGAGAGGCGATGCAGATCAGAGTCAGCTTTGCGTGCGGATGGAGGCCCACAAGTGGGTGGCTTCTCAGCGTTACGATTGCTTTTTCCGAGGTAGAGGAAGGAGGGAGGAGGCTGCGACTTGCTACGTAGCTTCCCACGTCATCGACAGCTATCGGGGCGTTCCTATATATACTATTCCCCCCCCCCCCGCCCTCCTCATATGTCCAATTCATTTTATGACTAGGTTTTAGTTGGGGGGGTTGGATTTGGGGCCGAGGAGAGCATCAAGTCGACTTACCATTGAGATGGGTCAGGAAACAGGCCCATCCACTTTTATGTATGTACACACACACACACACATCAGAAGTCGCACGGAAATGATGCGACATTAATTGTATTGCAGCCGACAACCAAATCGTAGATCACATGCCATCGGTACGTACGTTATCGGGAGGTATAAAAAAGGGATCGAGTTTCGGGTTTCTTCACAACATGATTTCGGCGGGATCCATTATAAGATTGCTCGATTGCCTCGTTCATTAATCCGTGGTGGTTTCTTCTTCAGCTTTTGATGTCAGTCAGATCTTTGGTCATTCTATCATCTTAATGGTGATCCAAAAAAAAAAAGAAATCTTTTCCTTTCTTTCTTTCAGTCTTCTTCTTCCTTATCAGACCACCATTATCAAAAATGGCAACGCTCGGTGTTCTTTCTCCTTTTTACGATCGAGCCGATCGGACAGGCTCAGCCAGATATTTAGGGTTTCAAATGTCGTTGACGAGTACGTTTTTAGTAGCACTGGGAAATCGGGGGAGGATGGATAACCCATCCGCGGTTGGTCGACCAACATTACATGAATCTACTGTACCCTCCGACAAGCCGTGAAAAAGAACAATATTTGATGTATGATCCCCGAGTCCTCCGTGTACTGCCTGCACAAACAACAAACCAGCAGCGATGCTTCTTCATCATGATCACACACACCCACATATTTAGTTGAATCTTCTCCGTCTCATCCGCCAAATACATTGCGATACCGAAACCAAACCATCTCATGGCATGGCTTCCTCGTTTTCTTCTTTTTTTTTTTTTCTTTTCTCTCTTTACTACGTAGACCCCTCCCAGAGCTACTACTACCCTTAAATCTCCTTCCCTCCCCGCACCTATTTATCTTCCACCTCCTCCTTCCCCTGCCCTCCTCCTCCTCTCCCATGTCGAGAACCATTTCGCACCACATGCGCGCGCGCGCGCACGCACACCGAGGATAACCAGTTACGCTTTCCTTTCCCTCTTCTTGTATGCCCCTCTACGGTGGCGTTGTCAAGCTCGGCTTTTGCTTGGTCGGCGTAGCCACTCTTTGAGGGCACAGGGTCGGAATGTTCTTTTTGAGATGTCTTACCACTAGATCGGCAGCTTCTTGTGCCCATGTCTAAGTCGGTGATCTGCTCTGACAAGGAAAAGTTGGTAAGTGTTTTTTTTTTTTCTATATTACCACGGAATCGGAAGGCTCTTAGCTCTTTTTCTCCTTTTGTGGTGGGTTCAGAATGAGATAAAGCAGGGAAAAAAGCACACAGTTTCCTTGGTATTTCCGATGATTTAGTGTTCTTGTGAGTCTAGCATGCTTCCTTCTCCCTGCCCTTTCCTGTGAGTCTAGGCCACTTACATTTACAAGTTGCTGCTCTTCTTTTTCTTCGTGAACTCGGTTTCCGAGCGATGGGGAACTATAGATTTAGGTTCTCTGACATGATGCCCAGTGCTTGGTTTTACAAGCTCAAAGACATGAGTCACAGAGGAAACAAGAACTACGGCGCGCCACACTTCACGGGGAGTGGCTTAGGCGTGCCCTCAAAAATAGCTGCAGCCACTACATCAAAGCCATTCCCACCTGCAGAGACCGATCTCCTTCCCAACAGAGCCTCTTGTTACTATCCCAACAGAACGGAAGCAGAGAGGTTTTCCTTCTCTCCGACCCACTCCAAGGCCGTGGACACCCATTTCCCCGTGGAAGCTCCGAGGCTTTCCAAGAAAAAAGGCAGGAAGAAGCCGCTCAGATCTCCCACCAAACCTAAGTTGGTCGCCTCCTCTGTCTCTGCTGGTTGTACCTGTAGAGCTTGGAATACGGAATCCATCCCCGAGTTCCCCTCGGCAGCATCGCTAGAGGCTCCGCCTTATCCGCTCGACTACTACGTTGACGTCAAGGATCTTGAATTCCAAAAGATCAATTACTCCGGCGACGACGGATTCGAGGACAACAATAACTTGGCCTCGTGGCAACACTCTGGTAGCTGCAGATTCAGATCCTCTGCCACGGACATCATCATCGATACGGACACCAACAACTCCATTACTGGAAAGCTGGAGCTGGTCGACGAATTCGACTCGGTCTCAGAGCTCAAACTCCGCCCGATCATCACAAAGCCCGGGATGAAAGAACCCGAAGCAGCGAAATCCGAGGAGGACGACGTGGATGACAAGGTGGGGATCGGTCACAACGTCAGTCTCGGAAAGGCGCAGAACAAGGTTCCAGTCAAGAAGTCCTCTCCTGGGCTTCATCGTCTACGAATGAGAGCCAACTCTCCACGGCTGGCGAGCAAGAAAGTTCAGGCCCACCGCAGCAGGAGGTGCACCGTGTCGACGACGACATCGGCGACGGCAACGAAGCAGAGGATGGGCTTATCGGAGAGCTTTGCGGTGGTGAAGTCGTCGTCGGACCCGCAGAGGGACTTCAGGGACTCCATGCTGGAGATGATCGTGGAAAACAATATCCGGGCATCGAAAGACTTGGAGGAGCTGCTTGCTTGTTACCTGTCGCTCAACTCCGACGAGTATCACGATGTCATCGTGAAGGCGTTCCAGCAAATATGGTTTGATCTATGTCAAAGTATTAAACTGTAGAATCTTAGGGGGATATGGTTTTTTATAATGTTGGGTGTCATCATAGAATGGCTTCTTCGAGTCTTATTCGGTAGAGAGCAGAGCAAATTAAGTAAAAAGCACTTGCTCGGTGGTTGAATTCTCTGACAGAACCAAGTAAGTCAGTTTTTGTTTTGTTTTGTTTTGGGATTGTGAACACCCTAACCCTATATAAGCATTTACTGTAACATGTCTCTCTCATCATTTAGCGCCAGCCAATCATGTATGTACCGACGTTCAACAAGGAATGAAGAAAGAAAGAAAGAAACGAGTGAGTGTGTGTCACAGCAGCAAGGTTTCGGCCAAGATCCTTAATCTTTGGGAGCAGAAAGTTACTTTAAATCAATAAAAAAAGGACATGTGTAATGACATGATGCGCCATGACCTGCTCCTTGACTCATCTCGATGGAACCACATATATGGGGAGGAGAGGGTTCCAACCAAGTTAACAGCATTAACTTGCGCATTAAAGCAGTTCCAATAAAAAGATCATTCCGAGGGGCTGCAGCCACTTGTGTGGAATGGTCCCATGACAAAGATATCAGAATTTGCTGTCTTCTCATCTCAAATGCAGCACGGAAGGCATTTGCAAACGGCACAAGGAAGCTCAAAGTGAATAGACGACCTCTTGTCTCACCTATCCAAGGACACCAAATGAAACAAATCTTTCACCTTTCCTCACTGTTTCTTCGTATACATCTCTCACATTACTCCATGGGAACCCAAGGGCAACATTCAACGTCCCTCGTGCAAGATACAGAGACAGAGAGAGAGAGAGGAAGAGCTGACAGATTCTGGCATAAACCAACTGAATCAACCGAGGGGACTGTACGCTGTAATTCTACATGTTATAGTCATAAATGCAGCATCACCGTAGCTGTTACTTCCGCAGTCAAAGTCACTGTTTTACCAGCATCGTTCTCTCTCTCTCTCTCTCCCCTTCTCCGGAATGACTAGGCAACAGATGTACAAGCCTCGCTGAATTGGGGTCAGGAAACGATGCAAGAAAAAGTAGAAGACAGTCTTTAGAACTTTCAAAAATCTGAACTTCCAGAACCATGCAAACAGGAACACGGCCGAGTAAATTTGACCGGACAAGGTTCAACTCGAGCAAATTAATGGAAGCTTTTCAGATCTGCTCGATATCTTATCTACTGTGAAGAGGATTGTTATATATATATATATATATATGCTTTGGGCCCTTGTTTGTTCACCTGCAGTCCATTGGATAAATTAATCAGGTATAGCTTCTGAGACATCCCATCATAATCATAAGATAGGATTCTCTTGTATAAGAGCGAGGATATTTGAAATACGAAACCTAGAAAATTTAAGGATTTGACATATCACATCAGAAACACGGACTCCGAAAACAAAAAACCAAAAAAACAAAAAGTGCTTTTCTCAAGACAAGTGAAAACTCGTCCGGGCAATTCCGAGCAACCCATCTTTCGCAATGCCAGTTTCCGTGTGCATCAAAGAACTTCCAACATAATCGCAGCACGCAGTTATTGTTATTATCATAACCAGTTTCTTTTTAACCTCGTCTTGTGGGAATCATTAAGTCATTGTTATTATTATGTTGTTTCGCACGTTCTAAATGTTCTTTGGTCCCCGGTTGTATGTATAGTACTCCATCGCGGTCACCAAGGTTCCCGGAAAATATGTGGGAAAGTGGTCGGCAACTAGCTTGTTACGTGGTGCATGAATCTCTCTGCCTGCCTTTCTTTTCTTCCATTGCATCTTGCTCGCTCGCACATCTTGGCTGACTCGCTTCTTCTCTACCTGGGTGTTCTCCCCAGTCGTATCCCATTCACGATTCTTGTTCGGTTCTCGACGACAATGCTCGTGTCTCTGGTCGACTTCTTGCCGATACTACTTCACTGAAATTTGACCAAGAGTCAATGGAAGATAAGTACATAGAGCAGGAAAAATTGCCTCTTGATGGGAGATCAACCCACTTCCTTTTCTTTTCTACTAAATGAATGAAAATGGAGAAAACATTTTGACTTAATCCCGAAACAATGGTGCAAAGACACAACAAAAACGAACGAGCGGAACTTTTAAGTGTTCGCAACGTGAGACGAATAGCCAGCGATCGTTGGTTGATTTGGCGGTCGTGAAAATAGACATACCGCTGATACGGTAGGGAACAAGTAAATCGGTCCTCTTTTCTTTTTTTTCAGTTAAAATATATACTTTCCAATCGAAAAATATTACTTTTTGTATCCGACTGGAATGGAACAAAGTGATCGAACAAGAGATGTTGGTTCTACGGGGATAAAAATGCCAATCTCGAACATGATCCAAAAATCAACATATTTTGTTTACTCCCAAATTTCCCGACTCAATGAGCGTTGACTTGCGGAGTAATCATAAATCCGGTAAGTAAGAAAAGCATTTTCGACTTATCCGTAAAACTTGATAGAGATGTGATGGAGAATTTAGACAAATGGTTGACAAAAATGAAAATTTACAAGAAGCGTGCCACGAAATTGAATAAAGGCCTTGCAAATATTTGTACTCATGGAAGTAGATTCAATATTATATTTGCAACGATCACAGTATGGTCCGAATCCTTTTTCCCTTCGTCAGCTGTCGGTAACACCGACTCGAAAACTGTGGCAGACTCATTACGCCAACATTGTGGTTGTCCATCAATGTTTGGCCAGCTAGATCGCAGCGTGCGTGCAGATCCTGGTGTCCCCATCTACTCCCAAACTTTGGCCGCTGCGACTTTTCCTTCCTTTTTCCTACGACACTGCATGAATGCGCCCATGGCTGTCACGTAAACACGAATTGATGCACAACCCCGAAATGGGCATGCATGCGATGGACCCACCCGATTGCCAAATCTCATCAAACGTCACTCACCTCCGTGTCCGGCCACCTGCTGCCTGTACCCGTCCCGGTTGATGAACCCCACACGCGCGAACAGAGAGAGAGAGAGAGAGAGAGAGAGAGAGAGAGAGCGAGCGAGCGAGCGAGCCCACCTACGACGCAGTGTACGCAAGGGGAGGAAGGTCGGCAGGCACCGGCGGTGAGTCGCGCCACCTCCCCCACTCATGAGTACCCTTCGTTCCCCTAAACTAATGATGCTAGTTTATGAGATCTAGAATCTATTGTCTTCTCAAATTAACTGGGGAAGTCAAATTAGTTGGCAAGGAAGTGTTGACCTTTACAAAACAATTTGTCCTTTCACCCCCTTGCAGCTAAAAGTTTGGGAGTAAGCAATCATGAATCGAGAACCGAAAGGAGGGAGGCGAAGAATGGATGGACAACCAATCGACTTGTCCTTCCTTTGCCCGACAAGAGAAGATTGCAAATATCATGTTGTGTACGTCATGAGAAAGGACGAACACCAAGGAAAATTAACTAAGAATAAGAAGAAGAAGAACCCCTTACGTGGTTGGTGGATAGGTGGGTCGATAGATTCCTTCTGTTCCGTAGGTGTTTCTCTCTTTGCCTAGTCCTCAGGGTCGTCACCGTCGTTGGTTTGCTGCCGCGAAGAGCTAAAGGAGTTTGCTAAATCGGTCACGATGGAAGAACGCGTCTTTGAGTGTGGTCGACGTGATCAGACTTGTTAAGTTTCGTTAATATGAATACTATTCATACAGTTAGAGGGAAAGATTTTCTATATCAAGATGAATTAGATAGGAGAGATTTTCTCAGACAATTGTGAAAATATTATCTACTATTATGCTCCTGTAAAATTGAGCTCCTGCGAAGGATATCAATTTTGAACCAATGCAATGAATATATTTTATAGGCGAAGATTTTGTGAGAGAATTTACTAGTTGATCAGTTATATATACGTGATAAACACGTAGTTTATGTTTGACAATTTGATTTCGGACAAAATAGAATTCGATAGTAATATGTTTCATGTATGAGTGAAACACTATATTGACACATAAGTAATTGACTTCGACATTATCATAATATATCGTAGGAGTGAGAATAGAGTTGATATCAAGTTCCTTTAGCAGATTCGTAACTCAATTGAGTTCTGCAGTAACAGTGGTGATGACTCGGTATTCGACTTCAATTATAAACTTTGCGACTGTCTTCTACTTCTTTAAACTCCAACCGATTGAATTTGCTCTAAGGAAGATAATATACCTTGACGTAGATATTCTATCATTGACGTTTACTGTCTAATCAGCATCGACAAAGGTATGGAGATAAAGTGATGAGTATTTATGAAGAAAGAGTTCATGATTGAATGTCCCTTTAAGATATCACATGACTAGTTTTACTGCAGACCAATGTATAGTGGATAGTCGATACATGAATTATGATAATTTGTTGACTACAAATGATATGTCTAGATGCGATGTGATTGCTAGGTTGTGTGATAGGTATATGTATTAGTGGAGAGTCATTGACACGTACCTGGTCAGACTAAAGCACTTTAGTATCAATGGGTTCAAGAAAAGGCAAAAACATTGATTGTGTTTCTAAGGGTATTGCTTCATCAATAAGGTGAACTTATGAAGAAGTAAGTGAAGAAGTAGTGGACAGAGTGACGAGCTACTGAATTGATGTTATAATAGAGTGTATATCCTAATGGGAAAGACTGGATGGTGTGGTGAGAGGCTTGTTTGATGGGCTCTAAGGTGTACTCAAGTGATGTATAGTTATTGGAGTGGTTCGCATGGCAGGAGACCCATGGTTTTGGAAGAGAAAGGTAAACTCCACAAAAATGACAGTGCGATTTAAAGACTTTTTGAGTTTGGGGATCATAGCATCAAAAAGTATTATGTTCAAGAGAGTATCTTATGAAGATGCATGACTTAGATCTTAATGTTATCTTATACGAAGCATATGGGCGTAGCCATGGATAACATAAATAGCCAAATACTTTATGTTCTTGAATGTTTAGGATTTTATGAAATAGTTTTTCAAATGATGACTGATATTATAGAACTGGAGTTAACATGCAGTTAATGAGGTAGACTATAGTTTGAAAGGCTACTGACCAAAAAGTTGGTGGCATTATAGCTTAATATAGAAGGGTAAGACCAGTTTCAACTATATGCCAATGTTTGCATTTGGTAGAG